AGAAAACTCGTGGGTTGAGATAAGAACAGTTTAATGATTGAAATATTATAATAATAATAGTAATGAAAAGGAAAACAACAACAGAGAGAGAGGGACAAAACCCAGGAAAAACAAGTGATGCAACCGCTCACCACCTGCGGCCTGCCCCCCAGCCAGTCCCCGAGCAGCAATCGCTGCACCCGGGCCAACTCCCCCCAGCTTATATACTGAGCATCTCCCAGCCAGTCCCCGAGCAGCAATCGCTGCACCCGGGCCAACTCCCCCCAGCTTATATACTGAGCATGACGTCACATGGTATGGAATATCGCTCTGGCCACTTTGGGTCAGCTGTCCCGGCTGTGCCCCCTCCCAGCTTCTTGTGCACCTCCTCGCTTGCAGAGTATGGGAAGCTGAAAAGTCCTTGACTGAGTATAAATGCTGCTTAGCAACAACTAAAACATCGGTGTGTTATTACAATATTCTCATGCTAAATTCAACACACAGCACTGTACCAGCTACTAGGAGAAAAATTAACTCCATCCCAGCCAAAACCAGGACACAGTCAAATTATCTTCATACCTAAAACTGTTTTTCTGTTGTTTTTTTTTTTTTTCTTGAAATCAGTGCTCTGACAAATTTAAAGAAAAATCCCCAGACTCCTAACTGCCTCAACATGTTGAGTGTTTCATGGCATTTCATTTACTGCCTGATTTCCAAATATTTCAACCCTTTGTCCAATTCAGAAACTATTTTTTTAATGGCTCTGTTTGGGTTTGAAAAACCCACTTTATTTATTAGACAATAAAGTGTCTGGAATAGTCACATAAAATAGATCACACTATAAGAATGTGGTCGAAATTGTAAAACAACTTTGAGATGTTTTAGAATAGAACAGAATAGTTCAGTTGGAAGGGACCTACAACGATCATCTAGTCCAACTGCAGTAGGTAATACAGCAGTTTAACGAGAGTTTTCTAGCAAAGATTTCTGAGTGTATGGATTCTGCAGAATTAGAGCTGCTTTCTATTTCGCTCTCGAAGTAAGTTTGAAAAAGAGAGTACTTTACAATAACTTCAGATTTATAATGTGTTCGTGCTTTGGAAGTTATTGACTGATTAGTAATGATGAGTATGTTACTAGTTGGCAGCCTTCAAACTATGTAGATGCAGTGGTGCATAGCTGAGATAAACTAGACACACTGGATATTACTACTGATCTGCTTTCAAGCATGCAATCAAGTCTCAGCCCACTTAGCCATACCAGTACCACTGTAGGTATGCATTAACAATGCAGTGATGTTTCATTTTTGTTACTGAAAAGGCTTACTGGAGCCTTAATGAAGGGCCATTTTTATATTATAAAATATTATATTATAAAAATACTATATTATTACCTAGTGTACCTTAGAATCATATATTTGCTTTTTCTTCATTGTCTACAAAGGCAAACTGGTTGATGGTCAGTGCTGAAATGCACTTTTATTCTTCATACATGCATTTTGCATACCCATACCGGTGCCAGTGCCAGCGGGCTTGACTGCTGCACCATCTTTTGCTGCAGTGCTGTTTCTCAGATTTCCACCATCACCTGCTGACATCCTGACACTTCCAGAAGGGCAGCTGGCATGCTCATTCGGTGAATCTTGGTCTGCGGGGGATATTGGTTCCTATCTTCCATCCAGCATCATACTGCAACATTTTACACTGTTGTTTTTATTGTTTTGGGATGCGTAGATTCTTAGTGAGCCCACGCTGTTTGGCCAACTTGTTACTCTTTTTGCTGTAATTTTAAAATATTAATGTATTTAAAGTTAAACTAAAATTTTCTTAATGTTTGAAAAAAACATTCCTCCATTTACAACAACAAAGACTGATTAGTTAATTTTTTTTAACTAATGCAGTTATTCAGCAGAGAATTTTTTTGTTTTCTTTTTTTAACTTGACATTCACCTGGTGTAATTGAGAAAAAAAAATCTATTTTAAGATTACAGAAGTATTAGAGAGAGTAAAGCAGGAAACGGAAGAGAAAGGAAGCAGTATGACCGATGGCGGTAAGTATGTTTTTGCCTCAAACCAAACACCTGTTTTCTCAGTGACAGGTACATAATTTGTCCTTTATTAAAGAAAAATAAAACAAGACCAGAATGAGTGACTTGTCTAAAATACCAATATTAAAATTTTAAAAGGTGTCTAAGAAAATCAGGAGTCTAAACCTCTTTGAAAAGGTTACGTAAGCCTGCAGAAGGTAGAGATTCCAGGATTTCCCCCTTTGGTAAATTATTTGTAAAAATCTAAAAAAATATGGGTTTTGTCTCCGCTTTGAACAGTTATCAATTCACTGGAAGAAATTCACACATTACAGGTTCAAGCCCTTTGACTCTGAAATAGTTACTGTCAGTAGCTGTTAGATTCCCTAAGGCTGGCTGGAGTCGGTGAGAAAATTCATTTCGGTGTTTTGATGTTTGGACTTTTTTAATATTTAAAACTACGTACCTATTTGAATTAGTTTGTCTCAGACTCGGGATTTGGTGGTTTGAGATTTTTCCTGATAAATGCATTCTGTTGCAAATGTATAAGGAGTACGAATGCAGAAATAAATTGATGCATGTTACAGTAGGACTAAATATGCAAGCTGTATCCATGTTTAACTGTAACCATTACAGCTAATTTACTTAAGTAGTTGTAAGTGTTCTTGTATGAATAAATTTTGTGCACCCTTGCTTCACTGTGAAGGAGCTCCTTGCGTGCCTCGCAGCACCTTTTCTGTATTATGGCATGGCCAAGGGTCAGGATAAACTCTAGAGACCAGAATTATAAGGAGCAATATGACGCAGCAGCATCCGCATCCCTAGGGTGATATTAGTGCTAAGTGAGGGATTAGAAACAAAGTATGGAGCACAAAGCATTTTAATAGCTTTTCACAAGTAAGGTGACGTCCTGCTGAAGGTGTCTTCAGTTCTCTACCAAACCCCAAGTCAGCTATTGGGATGAAGCTTTCAGCTGAGCAAAACACATCATTGACAAACCTATCTTAATGTTGATGCACATCTTTATGCAGATCTTAGATGTCAAGAAGACAGCAAAATTGTCGTCGCCTATTTCTATCTTTAAAGTGTCTTGCATATTAAAAATGATGTATCAGTACAATAAAGTCTTTAGAGTAGAACGCCCTTTTGTTCATTCAACTCTTCAATTTTAAGGAGTCAATTATAGAAAATAATGCTTTTGTGTTAAGTAGCTGACACAGAGTTGCACTGTTTATCTTTTTTTGAACAGCTCCTCTAGTGAAGATTAAACAGGCCTTAACAAAACTGAAGCAAGAAACCATTCAGATGGACATACAAATTGGTGTAATGGAACACACATTACTCCAGTCAAAGCTGAAACAAAAATCCAATATGACTAGAGATATGCATGCAACAATGATTCCAGAAGCCACAGTAGGTGCCTATTAAAATTGTTTGGAGCTGACTTGGTTTGCCCAAAACACGGTTTTCTACCATTTGCTTTTTTGTTAGTTTAGAGGTTCCTTTTTGTTGGGGGAGGGGGGCATTCATTTTTCTTTTTTGTTTTTAAGAAGATGCTTGTCATGCACTTTTAAGAAGCAACATGCACACTGTGGACTCAGCATGGAATCATGTTTAGTTTTGTGCTGTAAAGATTTACTGCAGATCCCTTCCAGATATACTAATAAATTCTTACTAATGAACATGTCTCTACTTCATTGGAGAATGTTATGTAGCGTGAAAGACTATAGAATGATACTGACAGTCTGTAATCCTGATATTCTACAGTGCTGAAAGAAAATTGCTTGCAAAGGACTTGAAATGAATTTAAAATGTCTATTATTGCCATTTATGTAGGTTTAGTATAAAGTATTTAATTGCTGATATTGAAATAATACAGCATTATCCTTTCTAAAAGGCTGGGTCAAAACTGATTTCAGTGGCAAGTAAAAGTAAATTGTCGCTTCCACTTTAAGTTTATGAATTAAGCAAAAAACTAATGTTGCAATAGCTGCAATAATATTGGCATGCTCCCAGGGCAGCCCTACACAAATTTGTGAATGGACAACCACCATATTCCTCATGATCCTTTTTTTTTTTTTTTTGTTTGGGAGTGATTCTCTAGACAGACTGGTATGGATGTTTTTTGTAATTACCTTTATTTTTACATTGCCTGTAACAGAAGCAATGGTAACAAAATCTATACAACAGACCAGAGAATGTGAAAAGTGTTGTTTGGAAATTACTTTTGGCTTTCCAATATTTTTTTTATGTGTCATCACTGTTTCAGAGTCACTTTATATTAGCATTGGGTCAAATGCTGCTTTCATTTATAGAATATAGTAAAGCCCTGTGGACATCATTTGGATTATTCTTGTTTTCTCTTCTTGTGTCAGAACACCTAATTTTGATCTCTGTTAAGGAAAAATGTTGACAAATCTAGCTGTGTAATATGGAATGAGAAGAAAAATGTAGGAGGAAGGGGTTGGAAATGTAACGGCAACAGAGAGCTCCCTTTGTCTCAGTAAATGTGTAGGTAGGGAGTGATTCTAGACGTTATAGGTAATGAAGGAGCATGGAACAAAGACATAGCCTTATTAAAGTACTAGTACATCCTTTTGGTTACCATTGTTCATAAGCCATGGACAATATTAGTACAATTCCAGTGATATTAAAATCCTCCCCTAACTTCTGTAGGCAATTCCATTCATCTTACAATTAATTTCTCTCACTTAAAGGTGAGCAGTATTCTGTAGAATCAGTGGATCAGTTCTGTGTCTGAAAGTCAAGACGCTTGACACAGTCAGCACCATGAGCCAGTTTCTTAACTTTGTTGTGCTTCAGTACTTCATTTGCCAAAAAGAAAGAGCCCTAAACCCATCAGATTTTAATATGTGAAAAGCTATATGCAAATGCCAACTATTAGAATTTACCTGTGCAAGCAACTGCTGAAAATCTCTGTGAATCACACTGGAAATCAGTTTCCAACTTCTTTTGCTGCCTACCTATATCCTCCCACATTCAGCTTAAATTAGAAAAGTTATTATTCATGTTCCCTTTGTTAGGTGGTGTTGCTACTGCATGTTTACTTTAACAGTGGGTTTACTTCAACTTAAGATAAAAGCAATCCCCTTCTGCATTGCCTGCAAAGCAGCTCACTGATGCTTTCGGATTGCAAATGTTGTGCTGTGTAAATGCTGTTTATGTAAATACTTTCCCCCCAAAACCTCCTCTTTCATGCTAATACAACAAACAAAATTAATCAAAAACCTTCCCTTATGAATCCAGCCTCTTATTCTATTAGAAGTGACTCTGTTGAGACAAGCATGGTCAAAAACCCTATAATGTGGTTGAAAAACCTCCAGAAGAAAAGTTAGCCTTCTTTATGCTAAAGTAATTCTAAAATAGTGTGCTAATTATATGTAATTAGTCTACATTATTTTTCATGGTACTGTCTGAAACTGCATTAATCTAAGCAGGACACTTCTGTTGTTGTCTCAAGAGTGATATGTGGCCCTTAATTGTCATCTGACAAAGAATGGCATTTGCCCATTTAGACAGTAAAACCACTTGACCCTGCTTTGAAAGCAGCCTTACTGATCCAGCAAGTGGCTACACCACCTTCTTTAAAAGCATGAGGAGAGCAGTAAGGCCTGTCACAAGCAGCCTGAAAGGCTGTTCTAAAAAAGCAATTATCTGTGTAATTATTCCACTGCTGGATCAATGCAGGAAGCAGAAGCCACATTAAAATTAAATCACTTGATTCACATCAGTTCATACATTGCTCATTATCTAATGCAATGTCAGAACTGAAGACCAACAAAACGAAGGTGCCCCTAAGTTAGTAGGATGCATGTGAGGCTGTGCTGTGCTATAAAACAGTCTCTCTTCCGAAGAATACTTGGGGCAGAAGGCCTATTCGTAAGAGTTAACTTTTATGTACAGCTCTCTTCTTCCAAGGGCCTTCACCGTTTTCACTCCTCTGAAATACACCAGCATGGAGGCACGGTGTCACTGTTACATGTCATATAGAAGCCAAATAGAAGCTAGCTGTAGACAGATCCGGAAGTAGCGCAGAGGGATAAACAAGGAGTTTCATTTGCTGAATCTGGTCAGAGAAGCCATGGGTTTTGTCCTTGCCGTGAGGACTGCAAATAGTTGTCTCATATGTGGCCCCAGGGAGAGCTGAGACTTGGCTCTTGGAAACGTGTGGCTGAGGAAGGCTCATCGGTAGCCAGCTCACTCTCCTGCCTGTACTCCCCAAAGCTCCAGAAAAGGAACACTTTTTATTTATGTATTTATTTATGTATTACTTCTTAGGGTTATGCACCTCTGAAATCCCTCTGAACCTCGTAATAGGACTCAATGTCTTATTTCCCTGGGCTATCTTACCTCTAGGCTAGGATGTAATGGATGCAAGTGCCCTGCTAGGAACTGGAAGTAGCTTTAGTGCTCGCTGCTGTATTAGAGGTGCTGTTTACGTGCCATTTAGGATGTTTGAGAGTGATGTTATATTTATTAAAATAAGAGGGTAATGCATGTAATTTTCCAATCCCCATTCTCTTCTAATGTCAGCAGACAACATGATTTGCTGAATATTATGTGCTGTGCTGGTAAAAAGTGCAAAGTAAGGGTTGATTTTTATCTCTTAATCCAGTTCTCGCATAGAGAACCTTCTGTGGAGTTAATGACTTAATATTGAAATTGCAAGAGTTTAATAGGGGCTTTCAATCATATGCCAAGAATTCAGTATTTCGGTAATGACACAAGTTAATCATTTGAACTTGCATCAGTGAGTGTTGTGCAGGAAGGTGAACCAGAAGTTTACATGAATTTAAGAAACCACTAACTGTTACAAACAACTCCAAGATCCGGTCAAAATATTCTCACTCTTTTCTGCTGATGGCATTAAAGGCCTTCCCCTCTTCCCCCACCTGAAAGAGAAGAACTTCAGGGAAAATTCTTTCCTGAAAAGGAAAACAAATGCCACCTACTATTAAACATTGCCACTTTTTTTGGAGTATAGCTCTGCTGTGCACTATGACATACAAAAAAATCACTGTATTGCTAATTGTAAGTTACAGTAAGAGCAATTAAGTCATCTCTGCATGACCTATAAAAAAGACTAGGCATAAATGAAGAGCCTGTATGTGAAATTTCCAGCTTCTGAGCTCTTTGAATTTTTCATCTAAATTTTGCAGCCTGGGCTTCTCTCCAAGTTTGACAAATGTTAATTAAAAAAAGAAGAAATTAATGTGATGCTGTTTCTGTTCACGCTGGCTCTCAGCCCACTCCCTGAATGTCGATGCTGCAGCGTGCCTCCACAAGGCAGCTGCATGTGCATACACGCACGCAGTGCGCGTACTCCTGCCTGTCATTTGGCCGAAACTAGCAGTAGACTTCGGCAGCATGACAACGTGCCTGTGAATACCCTGTCCCAGTTCCCACAGCATCACTGCTTTCCACTTTCACCTTGATATATCAATGTTCTAGGAAGTGGCTGGGTGCTTTCTGACAAAGGCTTGAAATAAAACTTGGGAAATGCCTGGCCTATGACATCAGTGCCTGTGAGCTTAAGTAAACAGGGGATATGAGCACCAGCTTTTCTGCATTAATACCGTTCATAGGTGGGGAGTTTCCACAGGAGGCTCCGAGATTGCAGAAGTTACTTTTGTCTGCCATTTCCTCCTCTCAATGTATTTCTCCCTTCAGCAAACACCATTACCAGGGCTTTCTCAGGTATTAGCCAATACTTAGCTATTGCTCCAGGGCTTGGTGTTGGTGGAAATGTCTGTCTTTCAGCCTCCTAGTAACAGCCCTACCATTTTGCAAACAATTATTCCCAGCCAAAACCAGCACAACAGCTTATTCTTCTGTGATGATGTTTCCCTCCAAATGCTCACTGGTATGCTCCCTCCAAACTGCTCACTGGTATGAGCAGCATTGAGAGCTTTTTATTGAGAGTAAGTTACAATTTGAATGATGCTACTCTTTCACTTACTGGCTAGTTTCACTCTGTTCTTTGTCGTTCCTGGTCTTCAGTAATGAAGAGTGGTTGTATCTCAGTACTCCATTCCAGAAGGGGCTGAGACATGCAAGTCACTCGTATGTCTTAGCTACCTGTTGTAAAAATCAACGAAGATGAATATTTTAAGGTCAGAAGTACAGAATAATTATTTCTAATAATATTCCTCTTGATGACTCACTAATTGCAATTGTTCATTCAAAATATTTCCTGTTTCTGTGGCTTTCAAAGGATGGCAATACTTCAAATGACATCTTAGTCTTATTCAGCAGTAACATGAAGAATTAAACTGTGGATTGTAGGCATCCCCTGGACCAAAAGTTTCCCATCCCTCCTCTAGTTTTAGGGCTGAAGTTTCTCACTGTATCTTGGGAGGTGAGCTCTTGTAAGGTTTTTGAGAGTTCTCTCTACCCTTCTCTCAGCCTTGCTGGTCCATGAGCATGTTACCTCCTTTCAAAGAATCAATTTGGGAAAGAATACAAGCCAGTAGTCAGACCAAGGGAGACAGGCCGTTTGTGAAATTTTGCTGGAAACTACTGCCAAAAAATGGTGCAGAGGGTTTCAAGAGGTTTGACAGCATCTGTTGATCATTGTTTCCTTTGTTATAGGAAGTGCTCAAGTTCCCAGTATGATGGCAGGAGGGATTTCTGCCAAGTTTGACAAATGCTATCAAACAACAGTAAAAACAATGAAAACTCTGTGATATTAAGAGTGCCATTCACTAATTTTGTACTAATCTGTCTAGCAGCCATTTCATTACAGCCTTCTGTAGCGTG